ACTGACGAGCTGAAAACTCACCAGCTGGGAGCAAGGCAAGAGAAGAAATTGTATTTCCATTACTTGTTCTGCTATCTCATAACTTTTGTCTGTCTAGTCTACCTTGGATAGAGTAATCATGTCTTGCGCTATGTTTGGAAAGCAGAGTGGAATTGTAAGGTGATGTAAGCACTGGTTTGGATAATCTTTTCCAGACTGAGGGATGTCTAAACATTTGGGCAGAGGAAAGTGGTGTCTGAGCAGTTCCTCCTAAAATCGACCACAACTTTTTATTTGGGAAAGGGAGCTTTTTTCTTTGTCACTAAATACTAAGATCTAGAGGGTTTGCCAAAGTTAGAAGTGGGCACATGCCATTGAGGAAGGACTCTCTTCAAGGAATAAGAGAAGGAACACCAAGAGGATAAAAGGAGCTGGTGTAAGTTCTGTCCCAGAAAATGCATTTTAAAGTTATTTGACATATTTTAACCACAATCAGGTAATGAATGAGGCAGTCAAAGGAAGGCCCTTGGCTTTATGCCCATTCCCTGTTAAGACACTCCTCTGGGTGAATGCATGTCAGACCAGTCTCTATCCTGACACCAAGTGGAGAGAACTCACACGAACTGCTTTAAAATGTGATCCTCACTCCCAGTGAGGACAACCACTCGATGTGCCACCCATTCTAGAGCCAGTGAGACATACAGTTTCTAAGCATTTTTGTATTTCTAGGAATTTTTTTCAAGAACCTGTCTCCTAGCAGCTAAAATATAAATTGGAGATAGTTATACTTGATTAAAAACTGCTCTCTGGACTCCTGCAGTTTTACCCTCTTATCCCAAGTTTCCACCAGTGCCATACATGGTGAGTACCCAGTGGATGCATGTGGATCACCTTTACTGGGGTCAAGCTGGGTTTCAAGAGCAGCAGGGCAGTCACAGATTCACAGAAAGGTTGAGTTTAGTAGGGACATTTGGAGTTCATATGGTCCAATCCCCTGCTCAAGCAGGGCTCCCTACAGCCCATTTCCCAGGTCCCTGTCTAGACAGCTTTTGAATATCTCTAAGTGTGGAGAATTTCTTGCCCTGAAAATGAAGAAAAGGGTACCTTTTCCTTTTGAGGAAGGGCCAGTGCCTGGTCATGCCAAGGTGATGCACATTGCAGTGTGCTGTAGCAGTCCCACCATGTCAAAGAGCAAGGCAGGGTACCTAGTCCTGAGGCTGGCATATCTCCCAGTGTATCTCATTGCACAGCATGCTTCTTTCCAGCATGCTTTTCTCAGGAGGGGTTGGGAGCTGGTCAGTTCTGAGCTCCTCAGCACCAGAGAGATGGGGAGATCCTGGAGCAGATACAGCAGAGGGCTACAAAGATGATTCAGGGACTGGAGCATCTCTCTTACAACAATTGGCTGAGGGCCTGCTCAGCCTCCTGAAGAGATGATTGAGGTGGCCTTATCAATATCTGTGAGTATCTGAAGGGAGGTGTCAAGAGGATGAAGCCAGGCCCTTCTCAGTGGAGCCAAGCATTAGGACAAGCCGCAACAGGCAGAAACTGATGCACAGGATGTTCCACCCAAATATGAGGGTGTGGGTGACCAAGCACTGGAACAGACTGCCCAGAGAGATTGGGGGTTCTCCCTCACTGGAGATATTTTAGAACTATCTGGATTCAGCTGGGCAATTGATGGCACTTGAGCAGGGAGGTTGGACCAGGTGACCCTACTGTGGTCCCTTCCCGCTTTACCCATTTTGTGATTCTGAGTTTTTTCCCTTTCCATGATATCAGACCTCCAGTGCTGGGTGGCCAGAAGCCCTCCTTCAGAAGTTTCCCATCCTGCAGCTCCAGTCTTCACCACACCTTATCTAGAACACCTCTAACTCATCCTGAGAATCACACCTCTTTTGGCCTTGGCCATGGGATTAAGGGGAGATCACTGCCAGATAAGGTTTCCCCATGGATTCAGCCTCTGATGCCTTCAGCTGCCATTGCTTATTGGAGATTATTTTCTCTCTGACTGTCTTACTCTTCTCTCTTGCTTTGCACATCTACTTCTGCCTCCCAGGTGAAGAAAAATTCCTCATCATTTTGCAAGGTGCCAGAAAGTCACAGGAACTCCAGTACCAGCCACTTGCTAAGCCTCAAACTCTCAGCCAAGAAACAATAGCATCCTATGCCTAGCTGTTGCACCAGAAAGGCAACAGCTTTTCTCCCACAGGGAAAAAACCCTACATCAATTTAACACAAAAAGCTATCAAACACATCTAGTGTCAAGTTAGTCCATCCCTCTGATGGATGGCATTCAAAAACAGCACAGAAAGGAAGCACTGGTGCTGATAGATTTTAATGCATTTAGCAGATGCCCTGTTATTTAAGTCATCTCCTAATTACTCAACATTAAAAAAAAAAAAAAACAGGCAGAGGAAAATGTGTCGTGCATGGACTTACCCAGCTGATCCAGAGCAAAGAGGGCTGGGGCACCTTCGGAGAGCTCATTGTCTGAGGGAAGAAGAACAAATGCTAGGGAAGTCAGCTGGGGAGGTAGATGAGAACAGATGGGGTGACAACGCTGTTTTAATCACACTGCAGATAAGCCCCTGCTAGCTTGCTTCCAGTTCACCCTGACAGCTTTCATGTGCGTGTTGGGGGTTTTCTTTTAATTCAGATATTACTGAAAAACCTCAGAACCAGCTCAAGACAGAGACTAGTCAGGATGAGGCCTGAGGAGCAGAAGCTCCACTGCTCCATCTGTACCCTCCCTGGGATCCCCAGTAGTGCTCCCCTGTTTGTCCATACCACAGCTCTTCACTCCCTTTCTTCCATTCAGCCAGTGCTCAGGGTATGACCAGGAGCACCCTGCCTGCAGCAAAGCTTTCCTGCATGCTACAGTCTCCTCCAACAACAGCAGCTGGAGAAGGTTTAACCAGCAGGGGCAAGAATTATTCAGAGGCTGACCAAACCTATGAGTTACCTGACAGCAGCACTGCAGTGACCCAGTGCCTGTGACAGGTGAGACCACAGGCTCTGGAAATCCCTGAGTTGGTGCCATCTCTCACCAACAACTTGTAGGGGTTTACTTTGCATTCCATAAATGAGCCCACCCAATCTTGTCTGCTCCCAGCTGCAGAGCACAACACACACAGATCCCTCACTACCAGTAAAATCTACAACCACACAGGAGCATGTGACCAAGCATTGAATTCCATTTGTGCCTTGTAGTTCATGGGGATTTTGCTATTTTCAAATATTCCTTGCAATGTCAAAAATGCTGTTAAATTGAAAAACCCAATGAAAATTTAAAAAAAAATTAAATTGTGGAGGGTGGTGGGGGTTTTGTGGTGGTTTTTTTTTTTTTTTCCTTTATGATTCATGGCATTTTTTTCAATGAATGGGCTCGACTTAAAAATCTTTTGATCTGGAGTCTGTGGATCCCTGTATTCCTAGGGGTTCCAGGAGGATATTTGAGAAGGGCAGGTGCATGGTACCCCACAGCAATCCCATACCTGTGCCCTTTCAAAGTGATCTTGCCCCTTGTTATAAAATACTCTTAGGCCAAATATTTAGAAAAGGTTGTGAGCCAGGAGTTTAGGATAGCATGGGCTGCATACAAAACCAAAAGCCAATGTATAGCCACATTCAATTGTTCAACTGGTTTGGGTTTCTATGAACCCCTGATGGCAGTGACCCTGCTATCCTCTGCTTTACAGACACAAGCACAGTGCAATCCTGAAGCCTACAGGCATTTAACCAATACAGTTATAAACTATAACACAGACCATGCACATAGCAAAGTCTTTTAAGAAACAATAGAAGCAGACATTGCTCTAATGGGGAAGAAGAGTGGACTGCAGCAAGCTTTCCTGTGCTGTTGCCCTGGGGCCACCCTGGGCTGGGTACCTGCAGAAGCAGCAGATGTTCTATCATAAGGATGTTGCCCAGTGGTGCTTTGCTGGGGATGTTGAACCCAGGGCTCAAAAGCATAAATCTATTTATGGGTTCAAAAGCATAAAGCTACTTATGTAATTCAGCTCTCACAGAAAAGGAGGCGATGCCACATCTTGGTTAGTCCCTCTCCCTTCCCCCAGCATCTGTGCTATCAGTGGGAAGCCAAGGGAAACAGATGGAGATAAGGGAGTGCTTTACCAAAGCAAAGTGTTTCCGTTCCCAAGGTGCTGCCATCTGGAAGGCTGTGGGTTTATTTTGGTTTTAGTCTGGGGCACAGCACATCCCAGACAAAGAGGGAACTTTGCCCAGGGGGGGACAGCTTCTGCTGGCCCAGGGGACAGGGACCTCTGGTAAAAAAGATGACCTGGGGCTAAGCAAGGAGCACTTGTGGCTGCTCCTGCCAAATGTTCAAATGGGGATTAAAAAGCAAGTAAGAGCAGCTGACTGGGAATTAGGTAGAGATGAATTGATAGAGGAAATAGGATTGCTGGCTACTCTCATTGCATCTGCACCAAATGCTTTCCTGAAACAGGGAATTTCTAGAGAGCAATGAACCCCAGCCTTGAGATGGGACATCTTGTGTCTAGCTTGAACAGCCCTTGCACAGGGAGCTCCAGTTAGGGCAGCTCCCTAGTCATTGCCAGGACAGCCTGTATCCCTGCAGCCAAACTAAATTGTCCCACACAAATATGATTGAAGAGAATATTTTATCAATTCTCCCCTTACTCCTTCCCAACCATGGTCATCTGCAGAGTCCTACTTGTGGAGAGTGAGGGTGGTTATATCTAGCACAAGTGGAACATTAACTGGCCAAAAGATGGGTGTTGAGGCCTTTTGTTATTTTTCTTATATTTTTTTAAAGTCCACTCCAAAGCAGGAAAACAAGCTGCAGGCCAAGTGGCTGTGTCAGTGTGACAGTTTGGATCTGACCTTTCCCACCTTCATACCAAGTACTGCCTGCCTCTGGACATAGCCCAATAAAACCCCTGGGAGCACTGCAAGCACGGTGAATGGCAGCAGCACATTGGGAAGTCTCTCAGCACTTTCACTGGGTGGATTAAGAGCCAGCAATCATATCCTACCTCCTTTCACATTGGAAAAGGGGTGGATCCCACCATGAGACAACCAGTTTGTTTCATCCAGCTTCCAGTTTTCACCAGGGTCCATCTCTGATCCGCAGCATCAAAGATCTGCTTGCAATGCCTCCTGCTGCTCTCTCTGGGGAATAACCAAAAGATACTCTGAGCATCTGTCATGTTGCTAGACCATAGCCAGCTGCAGAGAAGCTCACCTCAGCAGAGGAAAATCTTGTCAATATTTCAGGAAAAAAAGAAAATAATTTTTAAAAATTGAGGAAAAACCCACATGGCGCACAGGGAACTCTTGGACCAAGGAGCTGCTGACTCTACTCAACTTATCAAGCCTCCCCACTGCATCAAAAGGCCACCAACACTCGGATCTCCTAAACTTCTGTTAGCAGCCTGACCTACACTTAGAAACTCCTAATCCATCATGATACTTGCAGGGATGGTGTTTTACCTCTGAGTGAGATGATGTTTCACGAGGACATCCATCAGGGGTGTGTGTCTTGGCTTTACAGGCCTAGCCATCAGGTCCTGGCAAGTGAGGGGAGTGGGCAGGCAGGCTTGCTGGCCCTTGTTCCCACATCCCAGCTCCTCCATGGACAGGAGTTGCAGGTTGGAAGTCTCAGTCAGATATACATTCCAAGGCAATCTACCACTGGGCACTTGGCTCTCACAGCTGCCCAGCCCCAGAGCAGTGGCTTTGAGCCACCAGGGAAGGATGGGGATTATGGAGCGGTTAACACAGGAGTGCTCCACCCTAAAAAGTTCTTATCTGGTATAGACATTAAATTATTTTCCTGACTATCAGTTGTTCAGTGCAACCCACAGGTTTGTTGCACCTGGGAATCCTCATGGAGACATTTTCCATCCCTTGACTCCTTGGACCTGTGCATCTGGGCAATCCCAGATGTGAGCAAAGACTCCGAGAATAACTCATGGAGAGCATCCCTGCAGAGGACTTGAGGTTCTCATGGATGGACAGCTGGACATGAGCCAACGGTGTGTGCTCCCAGCCCAGAAAGCCAACCTCATCCTGGGCTACATCCAAAGCAGCGTGGGCAGCAGGGCCAGGGAGGGGATTCTGCCCCTCTGTTCTGCTCTGTTCTGCTCTGCTGAGATCCCACCTGCAGTGTTGTGTCCAGCTCTGGAGAACCAGCACAAGAAGGACATGGACCTGTTGGAGTCAGTCAAAAGGAGAGCCCTGAAGATAACCAGAGGACTGGAGCATCTCTCCTGTGAGACAAGCTGAGAAAGCTGGGGATGCTCAGCCTGACGAGAAAGCTCCAAGAAGACCATGTAACATGTTCCAGTACCTAAAGGTAGCTTATTAAAAAAATTAGATTAGATATTAGGAAGAAATTCTTTACTGTGAGGGTGGTGAGGCATTGGAACAGGCTGCCCAGCTGGAAGTCCTCAAGACCAGACTGGATGGGGCTTTGAGCAACCTGGTCTGGTGGGTAGTGCCCACAGCAGGGGTGTTGGAACTAGATGGTCTTTAAGGTCCCTTCGAAACCAAGCAATCTGTGATCCTACGGTTCTATGATCCCTGGTGGGATAGCACATACAGGCATTCAATGCATCCCTAGGCTTTCAGGATTACATGGATTTGGTAGGGAACAGAGTCCTTGTAGTATCAGCAACCTCTAATTTATTAAGGAAGCATACAACAGTGTTGTGATATAACAACAAGTTTTTGCTTCTGTTGGAAAATGCTGAAAAGGAGGTGACAAAGATTTTACCTAGCACTGTCTGAAGCTAACCCAGACCCCAAATGGCAGCAACCGAGTTGATTTCATACTGAGATGAGTCCCATGAGACCCACCACACTGGCAACTGGTCGTCACTACTTGGCCTCTGATTTCCTTTGCCCTTATTTGTATGAATATTTTGTAATTAATGCTGCCAGGACCCTAATTCAGGACACTCCTGGGAGAAATAGGCAGATAGCGGTGGAGGGACACCATCACACCAGCACCATCTCCTTAGGAAATGATGGACAAGGCCCTGCCTCCACAGGGAAGCCGAGCATGGCTGAGCCATCCCACTGCACTTGTCAAGCACTCAGCACCACCTACTGACGGGGGCTGCAGGAAGGGGCAGAGCCCCACGCTGGGGCACCTGGCTCCCAGCGGCTCCCAGCATGGCACAGCCCAAGCCCCTGCCTCAGCCCACTGCCAGCTCTCACCAGCATGAACCAGGAATGTGCTGCTGCTTCCTCGACTGGCCAGACCTGCAAGAAATCATTTCACACATCCTCTTGCTCAACACCTTAATTGACTAGAATGAAATACTTGTCTGTATGTGTTTGGTGAGCAGCGAGCAGGACAGGTCATTGCATGCACAGGCAGAGCCGGGTTGGAGTTTTTTGATGTAGCAAATTCACCTGAATTGCAATTAAGAGGTGCTGAGACTTCAGGCAAATTTGGGTGGACTAAGTAATTAGTTTAAGCTGAAAGAGAAGAAAAAGAGTCCTGAGAAGAGCAGCAAGGCTCCATCTTGACATTTTAAAAACTGATTTTTTTTTCTCTTGTTCTTTCAAGTGCTGGTTTTGGATTGAAAGTGACCTAGTTTGCTTTTTCTTTTTTTTCTTATTTTTTTTTAAGTCATGAAAAGCAGTAAATAATCTCAAACCAGAATGTCTCATGCTATGCTTATGAAAAGAAATCAAAGAAGAAAAGAAACATTCTCCTTTAGGGGGTGATCCAAACCGAAAAGTATTTTCAATTTTTCCCTTCAGCCACTGAAATGAAAAACCTATTATTTGTACAGCTACACTACTGAAAGGCATCACTTCAATATGTACTGCTGGCAATTTCTTCTTTCTACCTGCCAAGGGAGGGGTTTGTCTTCAAGTTCAATAAAAGTATAAGAGAGAAAGAACAAAAGGGCAATTTATCAACGTAGCATAGGAGATAAAATGGCTTTTCCATATTTCCTTGTTTCTCTGAAAGAAGGACCCTCAGCTCTTTGCTGGCTGCCCCATTCTGTTCAAAATCATATAGACATGAAATCTTACAGACACAAGTCCTGAGCCCTCATTACACAGAAGATTAATTGCAGAAGTGAAACCTTCTGACTTCACTGACATGTAGTGTCTAACCAACATTAGAGAAAGCAAAGGTCAAAATGTATTTGGGTCAATAACACCAGCAGTGACAAACACCCAGAAGATCATAAACCTCAGTCCTTGGTGTAGCTTTGCGGCATCCATCTCCTCCCTTCACAGCAGAACCTGATGCCAGCAGATGCTACTGGTGTCAAGTGTTGAGCACCAGCATCAGAGATGGGTTTGCGGTGCCTGTCTCACCACAGAGCACACATTGTGCCCACTGTCTGCTGTGGCTGCCCAACAGGATGGGATGGGAGGGAAAGGGATGGGTGGAAACACAGGACAAGGCCCACTAGCTGCATTTACATTCATGCTTGCTAAAATACAGAGCTGGAGAAGCCCACTGCTTGGGCTGGGATCTCACCAGGGCTGGGATCACAGCTCCAGCTGCTTGAAGGGCTCAGCCTTGCTACAATCAAAAACCAACACCCATTAACTCCATCCTTCAAGAAGACAAATCAAATGTAAGATTTTCCAAAGGGCCTGCTCTCAGGTTCTGTGTGCAGTCTTCACCTAGGGCAAGGGGTGCTCATTTGACACACCTATAGCTTCCACCATTCCTCTGAGGAAAAACAAGGTGAGAAAAGAGCCACATTCCTCCTATATCCTGATACAATATTAAAAAAATAAATAGGGGCTAAATACATTAAGACTTGTTTCATTCTGCAGCTTTTACTGTACCAAAAACAGCAATGCAGACCACAAGGACTGTCCAGTTTCAATCTAACCTGCAAATTTCATCCAAACAGCAGGAAAAAATAGCATCATATTGGAATGACCATTTCACCGATGTTTTACAATCCCTCTAATCTGGGGCCACTGGAGCACAAGCCCCAGTTAAGCTCCTCTTCTGGAGCACTTCCAGTTCAAGACAATCTGCCACACAGCCTCTCAGAGCACTCAGCATCTGCATGGGGATTTATTTTTTTTTAGTACCATAAACTGTAGAATTCACATGACCAGAACAGCAGGAAAATAAAAGTTAATGACCTAAAATTAACTCAGACAGAAAAGAGATTAAAGCATCAAACCCTAAATGCTACAGCATGCAGGGGCTTGATCTGCTGGACAAGTATAGGCTGGAAGTGTTTGCCCAAACACTGCCCTTAAAACTGGCTCCAGCCACGTGGCTCAGGTGCTGCTCAGTGGAGATGCAGATGCTGTGCAAAGGATCTCACATTTCTCTGAACTATCATGTCTCCTCACATATGGTTCAGCTTTCGAGCACTAACTGCAACCAATTTTACTTGATTGGGAGTAAAATTCAGTGGCTCTTCCAGAAGACACAGACTCAGCTACTTCTCCTCTTCTCCACGAGGAACAAGCAAGGGCACAGTGTCAAGAGACACTCAATTCAATCTGATGCAGCTAGATCACACCAGGGCTGGTGATCACTTAGGGCTGGTGATACTCACACACCACCTTGCTGCTCTGAGCCCTCAGAACAGCACACTGGAGCCCTTGGCATTTAATGATTTCTTGATTTAGATGACCAACCTTTCCAACACCTTGTAGCACCTAAGGAGAGTTCACGTGTGATCCTTTCTGGATAGCATCTGTCCTGGGGGAACCAGGCAGTGTGGGGTGCACACAACTGGTTCCTGGGATCAGAGCAGCCCCAAGCCACACCAAACCATTGCTTGGTGGCCAGGCCAGGGCTGGTGACTGCAGAGCCACCACCAGCTTGTAGCAGCCTGGTGTAAGAGTGAGCTTGGGCAGGGATTGCAGGCAGAGAAAGGCCACAGAGCAGCTGAGGTGGTCACAAGTCATGGGAGGTCTGCTAGATGGGGCAGCAGGGAGCACCAAGGAGAGTGGGGTTCAGTATCCCTGTGGAGAGAGAGGCTGGGACAAGGGAGAAAAATCCATTTCTCTTCATGCTGCAAACCCTGTGGGGGTGGCTGGGCACTGCTAGTGTGTTCTCCAGCAAAGAGAGGGCACTGACCCTAACACATGCTTCCAGGCAACTTTTGGGGTTTGGGATCGATATTCCCACACCAAAGAGATGATATTTGCAGCCAAGGCAGAACTGAGGCTGAGAAAAGAAGCAGGGAGTAAAGAAAAGAGCTTGGTCCAGCTGGAGATGAGGAAGAGAGCTTGGCCAGGCTGTGGGAGAAGGTGTCAGGCAGCAGCCTTCCAGCAATCACAGACGGGATTAAATGCTGTGAGACAGATCCTTCTACCTGTGATGTTTCCCAGAGCCCTGCAATATTGCAGGGATAGCCTTCTTTTCATCAGGCATGCTCTGGGAACCTCCCTACCTATGCTCACCAAAGGGGCCTCATGGTGCCTACACAATAGCCCAGACCCTTCCCAATCCCAATGAGTCCAGAGAAGTTAAAGTATCCCCTAACCCACAGTTTTGCTCAGATTGAAAACTGAGTAACTTTTGACAACTTCTGTGCTAAAAAGGCCATGTACTCAGAATGTGAGGGCAGTGCCAAGGGGAAGTCTCATCACTTGGGCAAGCTGCAGCTGCTCTTGGGCTGGGATCGCTGCTCTGTGAGGGCACTGCTCTCCTGCTGAAGTCCATCTGCCCAATGGCAATGTGAATGGGAATGGGAAGGTCTGACTGAGCCTTACAGAGCCGAGCAGGGCAGGATCAGGACTTTGAGGGGGACATTACAAATTTGTTTAACCTGGAGCAGCGTGGGCACAGTGAAAGGCACAAGGTGATAAAGTACTTCCAGTGTACCCCAGAGCTCAGCCTGACGGCTGCCTTTAATCACCCACAGCTGTTCTTTACTGCCTTGGATGTGCTCTCCTTTAATTAGCCCAAAAGGTGACTAATGAGCTATTTGTTAATGTCATCAATCAAAAAGCTCTTTTTGTAGCTGGTCTGAAAGAGGTTTTTTTAAAAAGCGTCGAGTTTCAGCCAACTGGCACGGAGCATGATCACAAGCTAATTACATGATCTCATAGCAGTTATCTCAAACTAATACATCATTAATCTGATCTTACGACAGCTAAAGGAGAAGCCCAGAGCCAAGAAGCACTTGAACACTCTACAGTTCTCAAGACAGAAGCCCTTTTTATAAAAGCTGCAGGTTTACACACAGCAGGCACATGTCAGGGCAAGCTGCAAGTTGTATTGCTCCCTTACCCTGACAAACAAAAACATTCACAAAGCAGGAAACACACCATCTCCTCCAAAGGGAACCTTCCCTAAAACACAGCCACCATCCCCCTGACTCAACTCAGGGCTGCAAAGATTATCAGAGAGGGAAGGGGGTCAGGGTCAGGATCTCAGCATTTCTCAGGAACCCTAAGGCATTTTTGATAAGCTTTCTGTAGGACAAAACCCTTTTGGAGGATCTATCCCAGTCTGGTCTCAGGGGACAGGTGCGTAGTTTCAGGCACTAATAGGGATGGGCACTCGAAGTGATTGTTATAGCTAAAATATCCTGGAAGCTAATTGCCTGTGAAGATAACTGGCACTAGAAGCTCCTATCTATCCTCTACATCCCTTTAGATGTAAAGGTAGGATGCAAAACAATAAATAAATTCCTCTTTACATGTCATTACTTCATTTAATTAGCTCACCTCTAACTAAGGACAACCATCTACAGAGATAACCAGAGAAAATCTTAGAAACCTTTGAGAATAATACCCTTGGTTTCACTCAAACTCCTACTCTCACTCTTGAGCAAGGGTACCCCCCAAAATGGATCAAAGGAGCTGCTCACAAACCTGTCCCAGCCATCTCACAGGTATGGCAGGACATCAGGATCCACTTTGCAGTGCTCCAGGACCCCTGCCCTGGTGACACAGTGCAGGAGACGCTGGATGTGAATATCATTATAGATTTGGGGTTAATTTATGATCTGTAAGGTCCTCCAAGTCACCATGTGGAATAAAATTTCTCTTTCTTCTGTTGTTTCCTTCCAAAGTCAGAAAATTGAATTGCAACTCCTTGAAGCAAAGCTTTTGTCTCTTTTTGTGTCTGTTGCAGAGCTGTCTGTATTAAACTAGCAGCACCAAATGCCACCACACCTCAGCTCTGCCAGTTATCTTCACAGGCAATCAGCTGCCAGGATATTTTAGCCATAACAATCACTTATCTACTTAAGAGATGATAATTTCTCTGTGCTGTTTCCCTGACCTCTCAGAAAACACACTACTGCCTTTTTTTTTTTTCTTTTTTTTGCAGTCATAGGAGAAAATGTTCCTGTTCCAGTCTCAGTTCAGGCAACATCTTAAAAAAAGGGTAACATAGAAATGGAAAATCTTACCTGAAAAAACACCTGTGATTTCTCTGGCGACAAAAAGCCTCTGTGCCTAGGTGGTGCAAGACCAAAGCTTTCCTGGGAAATGTTTGTCCTCTGTTGGGTAAGAGCTCCACAAAAACTATGTAGCCATTGCCTGGACTTGCTTTAGTTTGGGGAGGTAAGTCGGGGGAATTCAGCTGCTTTTGTGTGTTCAAAGAGCTTCGAAATGCTCTACACCACTTCTCGCATTATGGTTCCCACAAGAATGCCAGGTATGTGTCTGTCTTCCTGAGTCACGCAATTATCTATGGGAAAGTAACCCATAGAAACCCAGCAGAAGGGAAAAAAAACCCCACCTGGCTGTCTAAATCCCTCAACAGTCAGAAGCAGCCCTGCAAGGAGATCTTCTCAAAGAGGCTTTGCTAATTCCCGCATCCAGAATGCCAAAGTTAGCAGAGATGCTGGGCTGTCTGCTTGCCACCTTCCTCAGCAGTTTGTGGCACCACACGTGGGAAGTACCAAGCAGAAGGAGCAGCCCAGCCTCAAAAGCAACCACAGCACTGTAAGAGACAACCTGAAGCTCATTGGGTTGCACAGGTTATGGGATGGCCTCTGGCCAGGAGGAAATGTAGGGTGAAATAGTCGCTGATGACTGCTGCTAATGAAGGCTGAGTCATCAGTGACACGGAATGAAGAAGTGGTGTGATGCAGCGGTGTCTGGGCTAGTTACATCTTGATAAGGAAGGTGGATGTCTTCCTGGGTTTTCCCTTGAGTCAGAAGCACCTGGGGAAAGTGATACCTGGAAAGGGATATCTGCCATGATCAAATGCCACCTCAGGCAGTCTCAGAAGAGGAATAAATAACACGAGAGAATGTTACCTTGTAAGTTAACTTTCCAGAGAAGCCACTTGTTCCAAGCAGATGGGAGGAGACAAGGGTGACAATGAAGAGCAGAGAGTGAAGGAAAATACCCTACCTTCTTGCCTGGAAAAATATGGTCTAACCATGGCGAGAATGGCTCCAGCAGATGCTCACACTCTGCAATCTTTTTCTAGAATGACCAATTTTCCTGTATGATTTCCAACAAGGACATCCCAGAAGTGAAGCTCCAAATCCTACATGACATCCAAAAGCTCAGTTGAGCATAGGCAGCCCACACAACTGCAGCAGATGTGAACAGATCTTGGTTTCTCCTGAAAGATCGTCACCATGTCTCTTGGCAGCTTATGGTATTCAGGAGATTATATAAAATTTTGAGTTTGGTTGTTAAGTGCTTCCAGGTACCAGATTAGACAGAAAACCTCACACCTGGGAGGCAAACAGCCCCCATTCCCAGGGCCAGGAGGGCTTCAAGCACCCCTGTGTACTGGATGACAAAGAGAAATGTGCTGTGCAGCATTCAAGCCTACTCTGAGGCTTGGCTTTATCACCCCATTCCATTGGCCAGCATTGCCTAAGACATCTGTCACTATTTGGCTGTGCTTGGCACCTTCCTGCAGTGCAAGCAGGTTGGGATGCTGCCAGGCACGAGGTGGGTTTTTGTCTGTGTATTCAGGAAGCCAGCAGGTCCAGGAGCAGCAGATGTCAGCCAGGGAAAAAAGACTCTCAGATACCTTACACTCCCATTCTTTCTCCAATGGCATAGCTCTGGCTGCAAAGGAAAGAGCATTGAAGCTCTTACCAAGAGACATTTTGGTGACTGCCAGCATGGTGCCAACTGGTGTTGGCTGTCTTGCAGTCATTGTCTGTAGCAGTGAAAGATTCTGGCTGTGCCGCCACGTATGCACAGGGGAGGAGCTGAGAGAACCCTGGCTGTGCTGGTATGTCCCAAGGCCCTCCTCACACCCAAGCTCACTCACCACAACTGTAGAGCAGCAAGAGCAGAACCAGCAGTGTCTAAGCTCTCCCACCAAGCCCCTGTGTCACTGTCATATTTTTTGGAAAAATCCCCTTGCACAGGATTCTTCTCGAGGAAAGCTGAGAAGCCTCAGAGAAAAAAAGAAAACAGTACTATCTTATTTGCTTCTCCTGTGTTTTGCTGCTTTGGAATGTTGTTTGGAGATTGTTTATCCAACATGTGAATTGTTTTTACTTAACGACAAATCGTGGTCCCGCTGTGTTGGGACTCTAGCGAGAGTCACAGGTTTTTCATTAGTATCTTGTTAAGCCTTCTGTAAGTATCCTTTACCTAGTCTTTAGTATAGCATTCTTCAATATAATATATATAATAAAAGAATAAATTTGCCTTCTAAGGACATGGAGTCAGATTCATCATTTCCTTCCTGCCACAGGGGCCCCTGAAAATACCACACCCCTGATATGCTGATGCACCAGAATCCATCCTGGAAGATGGGGATGCCACCAGACTTCAACTCTGTAGTGAGAGAAACTTAGAGAAATCACAGGTTGGATAGAAGTATAGAAGTCAACTAATAACCATTTGTGTGATGGAATCTTTGGGTTAAGCTTCTTTAAAAAAAAATACTACATAGTAGGCTTGTAATTGCAGGGATAGCAAGTCCTGATGGCTTTTCCAGGCCTGCTGACTTGGGGCATGCCCTTACCTTCCTCCCAGCATGTCTGTGCAGGGCTGTGGTCGCCCCACTGTGGCACAGGCTCATCCACTGCTGCACAAACATCCTGGGGAGCCAAAACCACCCTCAGCAGGGTGAGAAGCCAGTGCTGCGTAATTCACGGTGCCCCGCCGCTCTTGTGCCGTGAGTCATGAGCTTCCCAGGAGATTTACAGCCAGAGGCACCCATCTGCCTCCACTCAAGTGGAGGGGATGGTTTCAGCCCAAGCCAAGCTCCCAGGTGAGTCTGGGCGAGGCAGAGATGAGCAGTCATTGCACTGCAGTGCATCCGCTGCAGAAAGGTTTGGGTGAACCCACTCTTTCCTCTCTTCCTGCCCTGTACTGAGGACACAGGAAGGTGCTGGATATCACCAGCTTCCTGCCCTTTCTCCAACCACATCACCTGAGCCATGACCCTGTGTGCCCATTAAAAACTCCCTCCCTTGCTCCTTGTCCTGCTCACCAGTTCTTCTGAACTGCTGGAAGTCTTCACAATGGGGCCTGTCGTCTGCTACACATCTGCCCAGTTGTAAACACTGCATTCCCCCAAAAGAGTGGAGGAAATAGAGACAGAAGATCATACCAGTCAACAGGATGAGAGATGTCATCCCACTGTTGTTGGAAAATTGTCTGAAGACAGACATTCTTTCCTAGGAACGCCTTTCTGGCCCTCACCTCGCAGGGCAGCTCAGGCATGAGTGAGGTTGGCGGGAGATTGTCCACATCATGAACACTGGTGGAGTCCTGCACAGCCACTCATGAGAAGCAGTGGAGTTTCCTGGCTGAGGGCTGGTTTGTCTCAGTCCCCACACCTAGATCATGCCATGCCTGTAATGCTGTCTTATTCACAGACATGCTGGGTTGCCTTTTCCAGGGAGAGGAGGAAAGTGGGACTGGTGGTAGGAAGGAGATAAGTCCCAGGGCAGGTGCAGGCAGTGGGGAGTCTCCGGTTACTTGTGGTGCATGGCAGACATGGGCAGCAGTGCCTGGGCTATTCAGTGATTCAGAGAGGATGAGTTCTGTTGCACTGAGACCTTGACAGACAGCACAGCCATAATCACCATCATTTTCTCCCTGGTGAAGGATGGGACAGGCTGAGGAAACTTCTTTGCTCAAGTATTCACATACATCCTTCAATGCAATTGAGGCTCAGGCAGGATCTCTACTGGCAGGTAGGAAACACTTTTTTAGTAATATTTTCCAGAGGACTGACTTAGACACAAAATATTTACAGCTCCCTCTTTAGAGAAACTTGCTTTTGGGACAATCTTTCTGTGCTGAACAAAATCAGAACTCTGAAAAGAAAAACACAGAGGGAATCCAACCAGCCTCTCACTGAATTACTTTCCTCAGGATCAGACAAGAGCAGAAAAGAGTAAGGTGGTGGTGATGTCAGTGACTACGGGAGGAATCAATAGCAAATTCCTGTTGCGTGTTAGAATGTCTCCTTACACCCAACAGTCTGGTGCCAATTTATGAAGGTGTGATGATCTCTGGGGTCAGCCATAACACAGACACCTAAAGTCTTGCCACTGGGACCACAGAAGTGCAGCCAACAGTTGCTTTCTGCAGACTTTCCAATGAGTCCCTGTCACCAAGCCCCTGCTTCATTCTTTTTAGTTCTCATGAAAAACTAGAGAGGACCCGATGTTCTGCATCAGAGCAAACCCAAAAGCTGAAACTTCTTAATATCTCAGTAAAGAGAAATGCTGTTTTCCAGCCAGGTCTATTTGCTACTTAAGAAAAAAAATCTGATTCCACTAGAAAAACATCAGCATTGCAGCGGCATTTGTTCCAGCTGAAATTTGAAGCACATCATCTCCTTTCCTCTCAGTAACTCCTTTTAATGCTCCTAAGTATTTGTTAGATTTTTATTTTGTATCAATAAGGGGGTTTCAATTTGTGCATGTTATTTAAACTCTCAGCAAGGAACCAAAGTAACAATTATCCACCCCCTGGTTTGCTGATTCACGAGAGACTCTGACGAACGCTGATGCCATGCAGCCAGCATGAGCTATCGGTGAGGAACAGCCATTAAAAAAGTGTCTGCTCAGGTCAATTATGGAAGAGCAGCGTCTGACAGGATGTGTCCAGCTGCATCCTGCAGACTGAGACACCTGGTGATTTAATCATCCCTTGAGGTGGTATTACTTTCATATGCACATTACTGAAAAATTCATCAGCAATCCAACATTGGTGGTAGCACTTCTCAAATGGAAACAGCTCCAGGTGTGGGGTAAAGAGAAACCCAATCCAATCAGTAATATTTTCCCTGACTTCAAGAAATGATGGAGCAGACCTCCCATTTGCAGCAAAGTAAATGGATGGTGATAGCTCTTTTTTTTACTATATGGTACCAAACAACTGCCCTACACTTCCTAATAGCCAAGAAGATACCTCCACTAATACTGATGCGTTTGTGATGGTGCAAATGAGCTAAAAAACCTTCCTGTGGCTTTACCACGCACTTCATTGTAACAGTCAGTCCTATGCACATTG